AAAGAGTGATGAGACCATTGAGAATTCAGTGAATGAACTAAACAATTAATAAAAAATAAAAATACATAACTAACACGAACATGTACGTTGCTAGTTCAATAGGGCCATTCTATCATTGTGGACACAACAACTTGGACAATACCACCTTTACTTATTTTGAATAAATACTTGCAAATAATACTTGTAATTATAAATACAACATAATTTTATTATAATTTTATTTAAATCTCATCAATTTACAAGAATATTTCATACTTTCATTCAGATCATGTGAATTAGTTACTGCCAGTCTCTCTTACCTCATTTTGGAAAAAAAGGTATGTCGAAGTTTATCAAATTTTAAACATTGTTTGCACAATCTTGGTATTATATTTGTGATCTCTGTGCACAAGTTCCATATCAAAACAGAGGAATGTTTTGAATTTGCTGCCAACTTCACACACTTAGAATAGCACTCGAGATACAAGACTCATAATTGCACAACTCATCTTGTCTGAGGGCACCATATAAACACAATGGAATAACAATAGAAAAATGTCTGTTGTCATAGAAAAATATGTGTTTTCACATGGGATGGTTTTTTTTAGGTAACAATTCTTGAAATTGCTAGTGAATACTTTTATACAGGAATACACGAAGAAAAGTAGGCTTAAAACAACTTCAATTGGTCAGAAAATAATTGCAAAATTATACTGTATGTTAGTCAGTCAGTCCTGTTGCAAGGTATGTACATGTTACATGTTTCCTGTTACAGCAGCACCTGAGGTAATTCACATCAGAGCAGGAAAAAAGAGGTAAATTCCTGAAAGTCTGCCTTCTCCTCCTGTGATACTTATTATGCTTAGAAACAAGAAAGGATTCTCCATTTTCTTTTAGCTAAATGAAGAATAAAAAGGGACCTAATTCACACTTGTAGTCTCCTTTTCTCCTTTGCAATCCTTACCACCTACCTGGACAGTAGATTGCTATGACTGCTGCCATCCACTAGAGTTGAGTGTATTGATCTGTTTTCATGTCATTATGGGTTTGGGTTTACTCTATCTGGAAAAGTATTCCTCCTCTCTCCTTCCCTTCTCTCTCATTAGGTCAAAATTGCAAAGACACAAAAGATTTTATTTAGGAAAATTTAAAAAACAATGTGCCTGCAAAATGTAGGTGAAAGAGACAAAAGTAAGTGTTCTAAAAAGTTACAGACTATGTGCAGGGGAAAAGCTAATTCTAGGGGAAAAGCTAATTCTAGAAAACTTTACTGATGGACTTCTTCCCTTTAAAAAAAAAGTGGGGTTGTTTTCAGTTTTACCAGAATGACGCTGACCATGATGCCCTCTACAGTGAAGGAAAGGGAGGAAAAGGAGAGTAATATAAAACAGATTCACTAGGACTTTAGAATTAGACATGTCTATCCCGTATTAAAAAACAGAGTTCTACACGCACACAACTAAAATGTCAACAAGTGTTCAGTCTTTCACTATGAAAACAAAGATTGGCTCTTGGATCCCCCTTACTCCCTTATGCTTTTCTTTCTTCTTTGTTTTGTTTTATATTAACTCTGTGTCTCAATGTAATGATTCATTTGTTTTTTGTGATTGTCAGGGATAACTGATGTTTTCAAAAAAGAGCCATTTTTAAGTTTTACTGTCCTTGGATATTCAAGTGCTAGATTTATACTTAGCTCATTCTTAAAGAATGTTCTTCTGAATATTGCTAATTCTTTTATACCAACAGAGTAAATCTCTGCTGTGAAGTACAAGAATAAATAGTGTAAATAGTGGTTTAAGTTTGACTGCTATCCTGACCTCCAAGGAGAAAGTGTTTACAATAGGGTGGCTTTATATACATTTTCTGATTCAAGCTTTTCTCATGAAAGCATCTTATTTGTCCATTATATCATAAGTAAACTGATTAGCTTCTGAGCATTGGTGTTTTTTTAAAATAAAGACACACTACTAAATCATAAGATTATTGACTCTTTAAATTATTTCCATCATATTTTTCTAGCACCCCTATTAAGAGGATGCTGAAATTATGAATACAGGTGTGATGATCATTCTAAATCTTCCAGAAGTCCTTTTCTTGTGAACTCTCTATTTGAGAACCACTGAGTTAGTGATTATGAGTCTTCCATTGTCATACTGCCAAGAGAAGGAAGGTACTGATGGATGGGATTCAATTATGAAAAGCTTCTATCATTTATACAGTTTTGCTTTAGTACATAAGTATTTTAGAATAGACACATGTAGTCTGATTTCTTTATTTTACACGATCTATTTAAAAAAGAAATCTGAAGAAATTGCAAACTGTGCAACAATCATCTAAAGTAAACAGGAAACAAAGGTGTTTCTTACCTGTAAAGGCCTTGTCACATTCACAAAGAAAAGTGTTTGGGGTAACATTGGTGCAGTTACCATTGAAACACGTATGTGGCTGGCACTGTCCAACTATTTCTGTACAATTTTTACCTATTTAAAAGGAATAATAGGAACATTGAACTTTAGTAAATATTTCTATTTTTTCCCTGAAATGTAAAACTTATATGTAAAATAAAACATCATATTTAATAGATAGATGGATGGATAGATAGGTATTTGTGCTAACGTTGGTCACTACTTTTCACCAAAATTACTGAAGTTCTAAAGCAAGGCAGAAAGATGTTCAGCTGCTGTAATATGAGCTACTGTACTCAACCTCATCTGCCATATAGTTACTAATTCACATATAGCTTAAAATGCAGAAATGTTATTAGTACAGTATTAGTATTAGTATTTGTTTCTTTGTGACATGAATCTAGCTTACAGTTTCTTCCAGCAAACAAAAGATGTTCTAATGTGGAGTCAATTTGACTGAATTTTTTTTAATGTGCATCTTTCTGGAAATTACAATTCCAATTATACGTTGTTTATGCTATTACAGCATATGGGTCTAAACACCATATAATTATGCTTGCCACTTGAATTGTTGCTATGACATTCACACTTCAGCGTCTTTTCAAATTTCTAATAGACTTGCTATTATGGGAGGCACTTTTTTTGTCCTTACTCTTGTGTAGCCACATCCATAATATGCGATGGTTTAATCTCCTAGTTCTTCTTGTTCACATGCACCATATTTACCGAAACAATATTGCCGGTACAGGATTATGGCATTAGCCAACACTGTCCCATATAGGCTAACAGAATATTTTAAGCATTGCTTTTTGATAACATTAAGCATGATGATTGCTTTTGAGATAATTACTTGTGAATCTTTCCATTAATTTGAATTAAAGTAGTACCAGCCACTTTTTTATATTATTAATTTTAAAGCATTTTACACAGCTCTCAGAAATCACAAAAGAAATAGAAAACACACTACATACCATCAATGTTCTCTATTTTACTAAACTTTGAATAATTATAAAAATATTTTTTTATAACATTAATTTATTCATACCTGCATCATCTTCTATTTGCAAATGCATTAGTTTGAAAAGCAATTAAAAATAAATTACAGTAAACTTTATGTGATACAACCTTCATTTCTGTGTTCTATGAACCTCACTTGTTCCTGACTCATCAGCTGTGTTTCATAGCATAGCATTGCAATTGTGAGAGCACAGAAGTGAAGTCCATCAAAGGAACATTGCTAGAATTCTGCTCCACAAGTACAGAAAGAGCTACAACAATCCTTTTTGTGATGTGAATGAATATTTCTGATACTTTCTAAATTATTCACAAACTCCATTGGTCTGAATGCAGCAACAATATACCAATCATTTTCTTCATCTCCTTTTCTTCCTCCATGAAATGAGACAATAGTTAGGTAAGAATGTATCTAATCATGCTGCCCTCCCTGGCGATCCAATCCCAAACCCAGATTCAGTTTCTCCAATGGGTTTTGAGTAAATACTGCAGTATTTCCTAGAGAGAATTAGGTGATTTTTTTCATTTGTAAAATATTTAATTTGATGACAACAATATGTTTAGCAAACTCCTTTTGAAAGGAACTTTACAGTGCAAAACAATCTGGAAGAAAGGAGCAAGTATTCTGTATTGCTTGTTTTTCTAATTATATATTTGCCTTTTTAATTAGAAACAAATTTTGATTTTAAAATTTTTTCTAATGTAATTTAAAAGGTCTTTAAACTGAAAAGAGAGTAATTGTGGCAGGTTGAATGAAATATTCATTTCAACAAAACAGTTTGCTGTTTTTCAGCAGTTTGGTTAACTTGGGGTCTTACTCCAAAGTATTTATATTATTTGGTGTAACAACTGTAACTGCTGAACAAACAAACAAAGAAACAAATGCAGTTACTTCTGTAAATTCACAAGTATTTACTTACGTCTTGTGCTTAAATGGGAAAGAAGCATGATGAGGACATATTCAGTCTTTCTCCACAACGCACACATGAATGTAAGCAAGCACAAACTTGCTTACTTGCTGTCTTCAAATGATTGCAGAGTCTCCTACAAGTGACTACACATAAAAGAGACTCAGTAGAGATGTGGTAGTGGCAATGGACAGCCAAATTATACAAAAACCTCGCTAATGATGTTCTCACTATCTTCTTATCTATTAAGGAAAATGTATTATCTGTGTAACATTTATTCCCAGGGGGATGGAACAAGAAATACCTGAAAATTGTGGAGGACACATGCATTCGTAAGAATCTCCAGTAAGTTCAGATTTCTCAGTACAGGAGGCATTGTTGTGGCAAGGTTTAGTGGAGCACATATCAAACTTCTGGCAGAATATTCCAGAATACTGTGAGAAACAATGGCAATTATATGCTTTTTCCCAAACATGACTTAGACATTTTCCATGCCCAGAGCATAATGGTGCATTTGGAGACTGTTGGCAAAACTGCTGCTTCACGGTTACATTCAGACGAAGGCCCATGTTGCACAATAGTGGGCCTCTCTTATGAAGCTCTGCGAAGTAATGAGTTCCAACACCAAGCCAGTTCGGGCCAACTTGGTGTAGTCCTCTTATCTGGCAAAAAAAAATCAACTGCTCTTGAAGAAAACCAGCTTTAGGGCAGTTAATAAATTCTTCCTTGGAGACATTCACCAAATTCATTCCATAGGACTGAAAGGATGGCTCAGAGGAGATGAAGAGGCTATCCCCTAATTGAAGCTGTAGTGGGCATATCTGAGGGTTATTGAGATTTTGTTCTTCTGAGATTTCCCCAGTAATATTTTTATTCATATTCCAGCATTCGGCGTAAAAGTCTGAGCAGATGTTTTCCCTTGGTGTCCATTTTATCACTGTAGGTTTTGGTTCCACTCGCCATTCAGCTGTCATTTGCCTCTCACATATTACCTGCCCATTTACAATGCATAGTTGAAGAAAGCACGCTAACAAACAAACTGCTAATTTTGCAGTCATTGTTTCACCTGGCAAATAAGAGTCACCTTTCACACCTGCTTCATTACTGACGGCGGCTTGAGAACACCTGTTCCCTAAGATGTGTCTGTATTTTCCATGGCAGCCTAGGAATTCAAACAGAGAAAAATTTCTGTTTTCACACTAAATGCAGCTGAACATCAAAGTCTCATTACAAAAATAGAAAATATACAGCAAAGCAAGGTCTACATCTAATGACACTTGTGAAACTGGAATAAGTCCAATTAACTGATCAGAACTACACCACTGTAACTAAAGTTAGATTTTTCCTATTTCTATCCCTGTTAAAGATTTGAATTTAATTTACCACATTTCATTGTACTTGTATATGGAAGAGGAAGAGCTTAAAAGTATACTTTCCATTTTCCCTCCCTCCATTGAAAAAACTAATGATAACCAAGTTAAAACAGGACATCTGTGGCAAAACTAAGTAGTAAACCAGAACATCTAAGCTCTAATCATGAATTTTAAGCATAGATGTTTTCCTGATAATGATTTAACATTATTTGATAATTAATTTATCATTAATTTATAATAAAAGTAGAAATGCTGAAGACATAAGCATGTGAATTATGGCTTCAATGAAGAAAACATACAAGCACATCCTCAACACTTTCATGCTCACATACACTCAGCAAAACACTTAATTAAATCCTTAGCTTTAAGAGTATATATCTGAAAACCAAAGGTCCTTAATCATATGCTTGAGGTTTTTGATGTATCACAGACAAATCCAGCAGACTACAAAGTCCTAGAGGGCTATTTAATTTATAGAAAAGCTTTTTTTGGACCTTCAATATATCTAGTAATTTTTATTGCATGAAGACAAGTGATTACAGAACAGGAAGAGAACCATAATAACATTATAAAGCTTATTCTTGGAGTCATCTTAGAAATTGTCAATAGCTGTGAGTTAGTAACAGTTTATCTTGCCTTAAATATAATGTTTTGTCTCCCTTTTAGTCCTATAATACTTTTTTTTTCCTCAGTATATTACATTTTAAGATAGTGGCCTCTCAAGTGACATTCACAAATGAGAAAATTATTGTAAAGAATAAACTGTATCTTACCAGGAAAGCCATTTGATAAAAATAAACAGTAACATTTATATTTTGAAATTTGTTTACATTATTTTCATTTTTACACGGCATATGGGATGACATGGTTGTGTATATTTCTACACCTACATACACCTGGTCTGTCTCTGAAGTGCACATGGATCATGATACCACTTTAATTACATAATTTCATGAAATGTCCTCATCTTCCTCCATGTACTTTAAAAATATTTTGGTCTATACTTTGGACTATGCTGAAAGATAAAAGTAGGACAGGAGATAAAGATATTGTTTGTGGAAACTTTGAGCTGAGGATTTTAAATGACTCAGTGAACTGTTGAAAATGATAGGATAAAATCAAAGGGTGGTATTCAGTCTCCCCTATTGTCCCCTAAATTGGGATGAAAACTTCTAAAATTTATCTGTGTCCCTTTAGTAAATTGCTGCACATGTGAAGCTGTCCCAATGACCCTTGTGCAGCAGAATAACCAGCACTGTTTAAACCTTTGAAGATACCAGAAAGGTGTGGACTATGACTAACTAGTAGTAATAATAGCAGACTTGAGGCTTAGGATATTTAATTTGGAAGAGGTAGAAACCAGGTGTTGCTTCCCCTCCCACAATAGTGGGACCAGTTCTGATTAATAACTTCATAAACAGCGTAGTGCAGTTGGGTGCACCCTCAGCAAGTTTGCTTATGACACCAAGCTGAGTGGTGCAGTTGATGTGTCTGAGGGACAGGATGCCATCCAGAGGGACCTGGACAAGCTTGATTAATAAGCCTGTGTGAACCTCACGAGGTTCAACAAAGGCCAAGTTCAGGGTCCTGCACCTGGGTCAGGGCAATCCCCAGTATCAATACAGGCTGGGGGATGAAGGGATCAAGAGAATCCCTGCCTAGAAGGATTTGGGGGTAGTGGTGGATGAAAAGCTGGACATGAACCATCAATGTGCGTTTTCAGCCCTGGTGAGAACCCACCTGGAGTAGAAGGAAGAATCACCTCCCTCAACCTGCTGACCATGCATCTTTTGATGCAGCCCAGGATATGGTGGGCCTTCAGGGCTGCAAGCGCACATTGCCGGCTCATGTTTAGCTTTTCATCCACCAGTACCTGTGCTTAATGGATTCCTGACAGTCAGTTCCTTAATGTCCCAGGCCTGGTGTGGGTTGCCCATGGCTGATGTCTCTGAGGATGTACATACCTTTGCGGCATGGCATGCCTCCCCCAACGCCTCTCCAGCCCCTAGCAGCTACCAGTGCCTATTGTACATATGCCTGAGCGGAGCCATGAGCACCTCTGGCTTGATGATGGTTTGGCACGGGTGGCTTTCCCCACCACTCTTTATGTTGGTCCAGAGCCCTCAGGAACCATCCACAAGGTGGTTCATGGCCTGATACCACTACAGCCCTGCTACTCAAACCCAGTCCTCTGTGCCTGTTACAGCCTACACAGCTCTCATTTAATTCACTCGCAGTTCTGTGTTCTCAACATGCCAACTGACCAGTCTAAGGACTAGAAACCTGCCAAAAAGGCCATCCAAGGAATCACAAAGGCAAAACAGATGCTAGAAAAAGTATGTCTTATTTCATGGTTTCCCCTAAATAATAAAAAAAAGCCATTCTTTTTGCCTTTCGTCTTCACTGCAGTTCTCTTTCCAAGATCGGAAGCCCCTGGCCGTGACTGCAGCCACGACTGTGATCTGCTAAGGCCAGAGAGGCAGTGAGTACAGGAAACTAAACAGTCATGGCAGGTTACAGCTACCATGTACATTGGGAAAATAGCTCAACACAGCATAATTAAAGATTTTTTTTTTACATAGGGTCAGTAACTGTTTCACGGAGAAGTAGTTTAGAAAACATAAAAGGCAAAGCAACCTTTGCTGTGATTCTAGCTATTTCATAGGTCCTGATTCAGAACTGCAACGTGTCTAACAGTGGCCATCATGTACTTAGATTCAAAATGTTTACAGAAGGATCAAGACTAAAAAAAATGTCCACAGTTGTCCAAAAGAGGAACTACTAATGCAGTTAAATTGTTAAAATGAGGCTTAAAAGAGGGAAATTATGTTAAATGCTTATAGAAAAAATAGAGATTATCTAAGGATACTGTATTGGAGAACAGAGAAAAAATGTGTACATTAATCAGGGCTTGAAAATAGATAAAAGGGATCTGGTGTGGCTAAACTGAGGGTGTGGGAAGGAAAGCAAGAAGCAGACCTTCGAATTTGTAATTCCCTATAAATAAATGAAATAAAAACATCACAAACTCTGGTAGAGAAAAACATAGATTGATATAAAACCACTAAAAGAAAGAAAAGAACTCAAAGATCAAGTGCCAGTATCAAAACCAACAAATCTCTGGAAAGAATAGCAGTAATAGAAAGCCTAACAGAGAGGTTTTATATGACTAACAGACATTCTGAGTATGAAAGGAACACTCAGGGAGATATTTAGAAAAACAAAATTATATGTCTTTATATTCACTATGAAGGAGTTTAATGAGGCTGGTACAAAGGATTTGTTAGGGTTTGAAGTGTTGATAGAAGACATTTAAAACAAAATAAACAGCATCAACAGCAACAGTGAACCAGACCCCATGAAATATCCAGTTCTAGGAGAGCTCAAGAATTAAATAGGTTAATTTTTTTTTGTTTATAACTTCTTACTTAAAACTACCTGGGTCTAAATCATTGGGGAAGCATCAATATGACTCCCGTAAAACAAACCCAGGCCTCAAAAGACTTATAGGAGTTCTCTGAGGATTCTTCATAAATAAAATATTACAAAATCACTCTAAAAAAATCGGGATTATGTCTTTGTCTGTTAAGGTATACTTGCTGTAGAATAAGAAGAAAGTTTATATAATTTAAATGCAAGAACCGTCTGTAGAAGAATCAAAACACATTAGTTCTTCCTCCCAGCTGAGTGCCCTACTGCACTCTTTTTTAATGACAAATGAAAGGACTTACTTCCTGTTCAGTGTTATCACTTCTTTTGTAGGAGGGTTGAAAAGTGAATTCCTGTGACTCTAGTTTAACTTCTCATTGGTGATAGAAGGAGATGATAGGATGAAGGGAAATTTCATGTTTGGGGGAGAAAGTTCAAGAGACTGGTGAGGCAGGCACAGTAAGGAGCCGGGTGCTTGCAACTTGTAATAAGTAATCACAGGCTTCCAAAGTGGTAACAATACTTTCTAAGGACTGAAGCACACAGAGTTTGGGGCAACCCAGAAAGTTGTTGAGATGACTAGAATCAGTGAGTGCAATAAGTAAAAGCTGTTAATAACCCCTTTCTGTGTATGTTCTGTCTTCCTTGATTTTCTGTGTTAAAAAGCTTATAATCAAACATGGTGTTTGAATAAAACATGTCTTTATTTCTTAGCTTAAAACCTTTGGGGGAGCTTGCTTGAATAGATGGTCTATACAGAGCATGCCTGTAGAAAGTAAATCTGCTTCTCCAGTTGATTGAGGATATGTCAATATCCTTGTCGCTATCAATATGTTTGATGCAGCACCTTTTCCTACATTCTCTGCAGAACTTGCCTTGTCCCAAGATCTACATTCTGTTGTGCTGTTGATGCAGTGGCACAGTGGATCATACTCACATTTGGTGAAAACTATGGTCACAATACAAACTAGAGAAGAAAAGGACATATTCAGAAGTTCATAATGTAACCAAACATGAAGACAATTTCACAAGCTACTGAGAATGGCATTCTCTCTAGTCCCACTGACTTCACCCTGCTGAATTTCACAGGTTTGCTGCAATCACTGGTGATAATTATGGTGCTTGAGGGAAAAAAACATTGCTAGGAATATTAACAATAGAAATTGCTAATGAATACACTGTGTTCTTCATTACTGTTTCTACATACTGAAAAATATGAATAATAGAATTTAATCTGTAAATCCTCATCAGAGAGCTGAGAAGGTCAGCCAATAGTTCTTCGTGCCTTTTCCCTTGTTTGAAGAATTTGCTGATCTAAAATAATTGAATATTATATGCTAATTTTACTTTTCAGAAAAGTTACTGGATCTTTCTTAGACAAACAGTACTCTCTTTCTGTAGAAGACTGATGAATGAAACAGTTTGAGATAAAAGTACTACTAATGTAATTAAATTACATATGGCAATATTGGCCCATTTTATATAGCAATACAGCAAATCACAAAACATGTGAAGTACCTAACACTCAGCCTATTGGAATTTAATTGAACTTGATTCAGTGAATTTGAATTAAGAGCTCTGTGAATGATAGATAAAACCATTAAAAAAAAGGAAAAGGAAAGCTTAACACATCATGCAGTAAAGAGCACTGTACCATGTTGTTACACCTTGAATGTTAACCTTTCTCAACTGAATAGAATATTACTATACCATGAAAAATTCTGTATGTAAAACTATTAATGTATCCAGTGATTCCTGATTTTATACTAAATCTGTATTGCATTTATTGTATATATGTATATATGTATACACAACAATAGTCATTGTATTTTATAATTATTAATATCTGTAATTATACTAAATCTGCAGTGTATTTTTAGCTTTTTGTTTTAAATATTGCAGTGAATTCCTTTTCAAAGTTAAACAAATGTACTATTATCAATAAATATTTTCAATTAATCTTCATTCTTCAACTGTAGTTCAAATCTGAATGAAAAATCTAGATGCAGTTGGATAGTGGAATATAACTTGTCTTTAAAAGCCTAAAACTTTAATGAATATGTTCAAAACACAGATTAGTAGATATTCAAATTGCTAGACTTAGAAAAGATCAATTTCAGATAGCATACAGTTTCTTAGAAATAAAAAATAATTACAGAGATTTCACAAACAATTTTGTCTTTCGATGTTGTTTCCCAGATTTTTCAATATGTATTTATATCCAATAGTAGGAGATGTGGCATATTTCTGAATTTAGAAAGTAGTCATTAAGACAACCCATACAGACATTAACCACTATGTACGTGTATTCTTAAGAATCTCATTCTTCTATATCTTTTATATCTCCAGTATTCAAAACCTAGAACTATATCAAGGGTATAAGTCTCTGGTGCAGAGCAAATTGCACTTTACTGCGTTAGACAACCAAATCCACAAATCATCTTTAAATCAGTTATCACCTTGTTTCCCTTTGTTTGAGGTTTTTTAAGTTTTTACAGCAGGTATTTCACAGGTGCATTTACAGTGACCTTTTCATTAAGATCAGAAATACAGTTCTGAAGCTAAATCCAAATCATCCCCTCTTAGCACGCTTCAGTTCACATAATGCAGCAATCTCAGAAAAAGTGAAGCATCAGATGAAATAAACCTGAAATAAACACCTCAAGAATGTATCTAGTGCATTCCAGGCACTAATGGATGGTTGACCTGTATGTGTAGGGCTAGTCTGCAGTAAAATCCCCAAAAGAAGAATAGAACAGATATCAGGTAGCAGTATCAGATTGTTTAACTTTAAAAATCCTCTCTTACTGCTCCACACTGCTTGAAAATGTAGATATACCTGTGAACTAAATGTCAACTAAAATAGAGTTAATATACTAAACTATTCAAGGAGTTAAACTCTATTATATTCAACAGAAGTGTTCCCTAATTAGACCAAAGGAATTAAGTCCATCATGTAGACTAATCTGTCTGAAAACTAGCATAAATCTTGAAAAGAAAATTCATTTTTGCTAACTCCAGCTAATTTAGGTCCAGTGAATTGGCCCCAGCACTGTGTTAGAGAAAACATTAGCCTGATCTGTTCATTTTTAAGGGACTATATTAGTCAAGGACTGCTTGACTATTGCAGTCTATTGTAACTGTAGTTGAGACAGAAAGAAAGAACAAGATTATTGGAGCCTCCTAGATGTCCTACTTAACTGAAAAAAGAATCAGCATAGGAGCAAGCCAAATGTTAAAGGAAGGCTTAGTTCTATTTTGAATTTGTATTAAAGTATTCAGAAAGGATCATGCACAAACTGAAACACATCAGGCCTTACTGGCATTGTTAATATAATCTGAGCCTACACTGGGGAAAGAAATTTAAAAATATGGTATGCCTTAAATGAACAATCAATATTTCAGGGGTGAGTTTTCTGTAGATGAGAGTTCTCTTAGTTTTGGGTTTACGTGGCAAGGTTTTGTTAGTAGGGATCCTACAGGGGTGGCGTCTGTGAGAAGATGCCAGAAGCTTCCCCAATGTCTAATAGAGCCAATGCCAGTCACCTCCA